ATTAAGGTCGATGTCGACTCCGATCATTTCGCGATGGGTCCTCCAATCTCGAGGGGTGGTAGCGACAGACTTAATTGACGGTTTTTTGGATGGAATTGGACAGAATAGTCGTTTTGGTATTCGTCCAAAGGTGTGTGACCGAAACGTGCAAAAATGGAGTTTAGTGACCGTTTTGTACTAAGTGAATAGTTGTGTGACCGTTTATGCTAATTACCCAGACTTCGAGTGAACGGAAAGGTGAAATATATAGATTTACGGTTGCCTTGCCGCTACCCAACCGGAATGAGGGTAGGTGCCATTAATTAATTAATTAATTAATTAATAATATATTGAAAAAATAAATCCCCCAACAGAACCGATTACTGTGCAACAAGAGACACTTGACTGTACATCGTGACTCAGAGTTACTGTTACAACTGGGATGCGACTTTGCTGTGGGCGGGTGTATGGTCGACTCTGGTCAGTTTTCAAAGCTCTGGTTCTCTTTGAATTATGATAGGACATCTGGTTGGCTGGCCAGTTGGCAGGTCTGGCTGATTTCTGTGGCACTGGAGATTGGGGAAGCCCCAAAGCGATGCGCCTTGACTGCTGGTCTATTTTCTTTTCCATTTATTGTTCACCCAGGTCTGTCTGTTCCGGTGAGCTCTCGATCTCCTTTTTTGTTCCTTTGTTTTGTATCTTGGTGGATAATGATTTCATTCTCTTCCCTTGCACTTGCAGATCTGCCTAGATCATGGGTCCGCATGATACTCATCGTCCCCGTCAGAGACGGTGACTAGAGGCATCGACAAAGGTTTTCTTTCTTCTTGATGAAATCCATCTATTTTCTTTCCATCTCTCGACCCCTGTTATCTATACCAGATTTTTATTTTCTGATGTCTGTGTCTATTGTTTGATGCTTTTCAGGATGATGATGTGTTATGGAGTTAATGATCAGCTTGAACTTCGGAGGGTAAGAAATTGACGATTGGGGACTCAATCGATGATTACATCTCTTTCATGGCCTTTAGACTTTTCTTCGAGAGTGATACTTCTCTGTTTTTGTTTTGTGGTTTCTTTAGGTGATTAGAAATATATTGGTGGTGATGATTTTACCGACCGTTAGGTCAATTATCTCTCCCAAACTGTTTCAGTGTTCTTGACTCGATATGATTTACAGCAATACAGGGGCGGATGATGGTTGCCTACAGATGAATTAGTGGAGATGAATCAGATGATGCTTTGATGAATGCAGCATTCCTTCATAATAATCAAGAATTATTTCACGGAGTATTCTCAATTGTATTGTTTCTTTGTCCATGTGTTGTATAAGTTTTGACTATTTAAGTACTATCACTATTAATTGATCGCTCTCTGTTTCTCTCTACCTTGCAGGCACGAGTGTTATTTTGGAGTCAGGTGTTTAAAGAATATTTTCAGACTCTGTTTCTTCTATGATTTGCACATGCTTACCAACTGTATTTTGGAGTCAGGTGTTTAAAGAATATTTTCACTCTGTTCCTTCTATGATTTGCACATGCTTACCAACTGTGCAGATTGTGATGTGGTGCACCACTGGAGTAAGGAATTGAATTAGCTTATGTGTAGGATGTTTAGCCTTTGGTGATTTTGGATCATGATTCAATTGTCCTAGAATTCCTTCATGAAATATCATTTGAAAGTTTACTGTAGGCAGTTGAATAATTAAACAACTGATGACGACTGAAATGTATGTCTAAGGGTTGAATCAAACTGCAGTTATGGTTATGCTTGAATTCTCATATTGTTGTTATTATGTTTATATAGACCATTATACTGTTTGCTTTCCTTCTCTATTATGAAAGTTTTTTTTTTGGCAAGATGGAATCAGAGTTCAACAAAGGGGAAAGGAGGGCCATGTGACAAGTTCAGCGTTTTCATCGGTACACCAAAAAGCGTTGTATTTCCACTAATAGATCCATTTTCCAAATTTTGTATTCTTTTGTTATCAATTTTTTTATCAAGTTAAGTGTGCTCATTCTATTAAGAGTGTCAAATAACCTTGGTATAAGGTTTTGAAAGTTATCATTATGCTGCAAAAGTGGCCCAAATTTTATCTGTGATACACGTAAGTATTTTATATGTATTTTGATTATCAAAGGCAGTTTCTTGCAGAACATTATAAGTTGTGTTTTTTTAATCCCCAAATAAGTATGTCTTGATAATCTCCTATCTCGGCGCGGAGCGCAGGCAATGATAACTAGTATATAGGGTTAATTGCAAGGATGGTCACTGGATTTACTAAAACCGTTCATGTTTGGTCACTAATATTTAATTCCATTATACGCCACCGTGATTCTGATCCCTCCTCCTTCGATTTCTCTCCCCCTCCTTTCGGTTTCGACTGCTCTCCGATACGCTCAGCTTTGACTGCTGCCCCGTGGCCATGAAGCTATCATCTCCGCCACTCCTTCCTCAACGCTCGCCTCGCTTTGCTTCATTCTCCACCTGCCCCGAAAATTTTCAAAATTTTCAATGGAGTTCCACGACTGTTTTTATTGCCCCGAAAATTTTCATTCTCCACCTGCGCATGTGCTTCGAATTGCCAGAAATCGACACCTCATGCTTCCTGCATGAACACCCTAATGCCCTTCAACCACGCCACCCCCTGCCGCCGATACTTTATATACCCACTCTTTCTTCCCTCATCTCATCCCACCAATATTAGATACATCACAACAAACAAACCACCACCACCATTACAGTCCTTCATCCTCTCCCACCGCTAAGAAGCAGCAGTAGCTCTTCAAGGATCTCGACATCCCTCCTAGAAAACTTCTCCTCTCCCTCGCCCACCACTCCACCGGATCACCCAAATACCACCACAATTTTGGCCTCGACGACGACATGTCACGTCTCTACAAACACCTCCCCTGCAATGAAGCTGATTTGGATCTGGATGATGATGGTGATGATTTTGAGGACAGTGATCCTTACTCATCGTCAATGTAGCACTGCACCCTTCTTCAGCTACTGTTCTCTATGTGGATTCAGGGCAATTCAGGAACCCTAAATTAAATATAAAAAATGGTTTTGATTGCGAATTAGCTTCAATAGAAATGAAGTGGGAACAAATTATTTAGAAATTGGTAATTAAATTACCGTTCATGATGCAATGGGCTCAGATGCGATCTCTTCACGCTAGTCCCTGAAAGGGAGGAACCAGTTTGAGGAGTGGAAATCATAACTCCATGATGCATACCGATGTTGGAAGGGAAAGTCCAAAGCAAAATTAGAAAGGAAAACCCAAACGAAATCGTACCAGATGATGGTGGAAGCCTGGAAGGGGATATCAGAGAAGCAATGGAGTTCGACGATGATCTGCCGCGGACATTCACGAAGATGATTTGGATCTTAGAGGTTTACACTATTTTCGCAGTCAAAGCTGAGCGTATCGGAGAGCAGTCGAAACCAGAAGGTGGGGAGAGAAATCTAAGGAGGAGGGATCGGAATCAGGGTGGCGTAGATGGCGGAGGTAAGTTTTATTTTTATTTTTTAATAGTTGTAAAATGAGGTGGAAATTGTAAATATTTAAATTTTATTATTTTTTAATGGCCACGTCACTCATTTAACGGTCAACTATAATAGTTGACTGCCACATCAGCAAAAACTAACGGAGACTAACGGAGAGTGATCAAACTTGAACTATTTAACTAATCTTATTGATCATGAATGGAATTAAATATTTGCAGTGACCAAACATGAACGGTTTTAGTAAACTCAGTGACTATCCTTGCAATTAACCCCTATTATATATATATAAAATAAAAGTCTTGATTACAAACACTGTTCATTAGTAGCCCCCACTCTCTTCTCTATGACTGGGCAATCTCCAAACTCTTCTCCTTCATTCGCCAACGTGTCCAGCTTCCTCTCTCACATAGTTGTCCACTACTCCCAATTACCCCACTCGCCAATGAAGGACCAAAAGATCCATCATTTCTTCATTGGTCACTCACCATAACTCCACTATATCCAAGATTCAATGATCAGCAAAGACTCCTTCAATGTTACTCTCTCCCCCTTTTTCTGATTTCTCTCCTGCCATACGCAATCTTCTGCTTCTTCTCATCTTCTCCTCCATACCTTACAACCTTTCCCCTATTCTCCATCGGTTCAGACCATACCTCTCTTTTGCATCTACCTCTGATGACCCTCTCCTCACTCACATCTTCTGTTGCCAACTCTCACCACTCCATGGACAATAGCGCTATTCTGCTAACCCTTTAAGTGGTTAGTAGATACTAACACGGTGGGATCCTTGTCCACATCGCCGAGCCACCATCGGAGGGAGAGGGATCACTGGCGTCGTCGTGTGAGGGGCGGAAGAGTGGACAGCCCAAGCCGAGCCTTTTTTGGGAGAAGTGGGCCCAGAATTAAAAAAAACCCCAAAATTTCAAACCCAAACCCGCTACTCTCTCCCTCAACCTGCGTTTTTCATTCTCCCCTCTCTCTCCAAAAAACTTTCGAACCTTCTCCCTCTTTGTTAATTCTTCTCCCGAAAACCACCACCAACAAATCCTAGCGACGACGGCTGTCACGGCGACGACGGGTGCGAGGTCGGCGATGGATTGTTGGAAACCACGCAGACGACGATGTTGAAGCTATCCCGACGAGGAAGATTTCGGGTTGCATGGATTCGAATATGGATGTTTAGGGTTTTGTTTCTAGATTACCAGATTTAGGGTTCGTGGGATTCTAATTTGGGGGTTTTGGGTTTCGTCTCGATTTGTAGATTTAGGGTTTCTTGGATTCGATTTTGTGGTTGTGGATTTTTTTTTTCTAGGACCAGATTTAGGGTTTCTCGATTTCCATTTTGGGGGTTCTGGATATTATTTCTAGATTATCTGATTTAGGATTTGTTGGATTCGATTTTGTGGAATCTGGGTATCATTTGTCGATTGCTTGATTAAAAGTTACATGGATATCAGTTTTGTCATCTTCGATACTTAATGTGGTCATTGTGGATATTGGTTCAGTTAATGGGGAGACCAAAAAAGAATGCAAAGGCCAACTATGAGCCAGACAGATCATCAAAGAAACCGGCGGCTGTGGCAGAACAACCAGCAGAGGTTTAATTTCTCACTTCCTTTCATGGATATATTGGATAAAAAAATAATACTCTGATTTGTGGATATCAGTTCGGTTAGAGTGGATATTTAACTGTACGTTTTAGTTATTTGTCTGGGGATTATGGATATTTGTTTACGGATATCATTTATCTCCGTTTGGATACACTCTTGCTTTACTACGATAATAATTGGATAAAAAACTACTATGATTTGTGGATATCAGTTCGGTTAGAGTGGATATTTAACTGTACGTTTTAGTTATTTGTCTGGAGATTATGGATATTTGTTTATGGATATCATTTATCTCCGTTTGGATACACTCTTGCTTTACTACGATAATAATTGGATAAAACAACTACTCTGATTTGTGGATATCAGTCCGGTTAGGGTGGATATTGTTCTGTGCGTTTTAGTTATTTGTCTTGGGAATATGGATATTTATCTTAATATGTAACTGTGTTTCAGGAACAACCCGTGAAGAAGAGATCCAAGATGGTTGCTCCGAGATCTCAGCAAGGAGATGGATCGTCACAGCATCCGGCGGCTGAACAACCACCACAGGTTTCATTTTTCACTTCGTTTCTCGATTAGTTATTGTTTCTGATACCTTTTCATGGATATATTGGCTAAAAAAACTACTATGGTGTGTGGATATCAGTTTGGATAGGGTGGATATTTAGCTGTAGGTTTTAGTTATTTCTCTGGGGATTATGGATATTTGTTTATGGATATAATTTATCTCCGTTTGGATACACTCTTGCTTTACTACGATAATAATTGCATAAAAAAACTACTCTGATTTGTGGATATCAGTCCGGTTAGGGTGGATATTGTTCTGTGCGTTTTAGTTATTTTTCTGGGGAATATGGATATTTATCTTAATATCCAACTGTGTTTCAGGAACAACCCGTAGATCCAAGATGGCTGCTCGGAGATCTCAACAAGGAGATGGATCATCATAGGATCCGTCGGATGAACAACCACCATAGGTTTCATTTCTCACTTCGTTTCTCGATTAGTTATTGTTTCCGATACCTTTTCATGGATATATTGGCTAAAAAAACTACTCGGGTGTGTGGATATCAGTTCGGATATAGTGGATATTTAACTGTATGTTTTAGTTATTTTTCTGGGGATTATGGATATTTGTTTACATGGATAAGCTATTGGATACACTATTGCTTTCTTACGATAATAATTGGATATATTGGCTAAAACTACTACTCTGATGTGTCGATATTAGTTTTGTTAGGATGGATATTGTTTTGTGCGTTTTAGTTATTTGTCTTGGGAGTTTGGATTTTTTCAATATATAACTGTGTTTCAGGAACAACCCGTGAGGAAGAGATCCAAAAAGGTTTCACCGAGTTCTCGTGAAGGAGAAGGATCAAGGCAGCCTCCTGCTAGACAACAACCAGAAGTTGAGGAGGAAGATGAGGAAGAAGATGAGGAGGGGCCCTGCGACTCATACTTCAGATTCCGCGGCTCCACCTATTCTCTATTCAAAGTGATAAGCTACTGGAAACAAGATGTTGCATACTATGCAGCATGAAAGAAAGAAGTCGAGAAGGCAGGATTCAGAGGCCTAATGGACCTTCGAATGCCGAAAATTTCCAATGTCTTCATGGACGACTTGATGGCTGCTTATGACATCTCAACCAGTACTTTTGTTTTTGGGGAAGGAGACTCGAAGAAGGTGTTCGAGTTCACACCTGAGGATGTGGCACGTGTATACGGACTTCCTCTCGGTGGGGTTGTGATTGATCTGAAGTACACTGAGGGGGGGGGGGATGCTCGACTGTTTCAGCGAGGATATCAGCATGATTCCTAACAGGAGCCGCAATGTTTCTATCAATGCTCTGTGGCAGTTGGCGATTCCAGGCGAAGGTCCTAGACCACCTGTTGCAATGGCTGTCAAGCAATTCTTGTTGCTAGCCTCTGGTTCTTTGCTCGTGCCAACATTTGCTCGGAGGTGCAAGCTGGACTTTGCCCCATACATGGGTGGGAGTATGGAGGACGTTAGGTTGTATGACTGGTGTACCTTTATCGCCCGTGAACTTAAGGTAGAGTTGACTGTTGAGAAGAAAAAAGAACATGCTGCAAGGGCCAAAGACAAGCCATGCGTGTGGGTTCTCGGAGATTGCTATTCCTTGACAGTAAGTTCTAACTTTTTTCGATACTTGTTGGTTCAGCTCAGATATTGTTTATTATGAATTACGATATTTCTTGGTTAGAATGTTATCTGGGTATCATTTTAGTCACATAGGATACACTTGTTTTGAATCTCGATGCTTGTTGGTGAAATTGCAAAAAATCAGCTTCAAATGGTCTGTGGATATCATTTTAGTCACATAGGATACTTTTGTGGTGACTCTCGATATTCCTTCATTAAAATGCTAGAAATGACGCTTAACATTTATTAACTGAATTTTTTTTTACAGGTGCATCTGCTGGACTCCCTAAGCCTACGCGGGTTGCACACAAAGACCATCCCTAGCTGCCGGTTTTGGTGGAAGCAAAATGTGGATAGGGCAAGCACATCTATCCCCTTAACCGGGGGAAGATATGACCTAGCTGCCGATCTGCTGAGTAGGGAAGAAATCGCTGCTCGCAACCAGCTCCAGCCAGCGGCTAATGAGGGTACTAGTGCAACAGCGGCCAGCAGTTCAGCTCCTCCTCCAGCTCATGCACCGATGCCCACAAGCAGAATGGTGGGAGACTGAAGATTTCACTAGCCTTCAGCTAGAGCAGGTAAAATGTTCTTTTCCTCCCTATTTAAGATAGTGCATTGGTAGACTTGGATGCATATAGTAACCTAAATATTTCACAACATATGTGTAGCTTAAGGGATTGAAGGAAATGACTGAGAGCATGATTGAAAAGTGGGTAGCTTGAAGGGACAAGGTCCAAACGATTGTCGAGAATTTGGGACAGCAAGAGTGAATTTGATCTACTATTTTTCGTTCTTTTTTCGGGGGTTGTACTTTTTCTTAAGTTGCCATGTTGGAATGGCAATGGATATTGTTTGGATTTTAGTTTGTTGTTCTGAGATACTTGTTGGTTTCATTTGGATATCAGCTTGTTTGATTTTCAGTTATGAATACTTGTTTGTGAGGTTTGGATATTATTTTATGCATTTGGATATTTCACTGAAATCTATGTTTGTTATATCATATGTGGATATTATTCTGGCAAAGTTTGATACTTGTACGAGCAGTTTGGATATTATACAGGATACATGTGTGTTGGTAGTTTGTAATTTTGCGCAAACTCTTCGTTTGTCTTCCAGCTTAAGGTACTGGGTGCTGGGATTGATCGGCATTTGGGCAAACTACTGGACTTTGCCACAAAATTGGGACATATGATAGAAAAGAGGAAAGAGCATGACAAGTTCAAGGTCGTGGATTCCGGAAAGAGACCTTTGGAGAATACTGTTGAGGAGGTGCTAGAGCAGCTTAAAACAGAGGTGGTGGAAGACCAAGTGGAGAATACTGAAGCTAAAATGGAAATGGATGAGCAGCCTCTAGAGAAGGACCAGGTCGAGCCAAAAGTGGAGAATACTAGAGAGAAATGTGAAGAAGATCATGAAGAGAAGAATAGATTTGAGGCGGTGGAGAATGAAACAGAGAAGACTGTAGAGACACCGAACGAGGAGGTGTGGGAGCCGGTGTTGGAGTCGACAGTCACTATGGTGATACACTATACAGTCCCAGATACAACTTATGAGGACATTATGCAGATAGCTCATGAGGCTACTACAGCTGCTAATGCCGTGGAAGAATACCCACCTACAAGGGAGGAAGTTCTACAGACGACTACTCATGATGTGGTGGAGCCGTTGGATCAACTTGCAGAGATGGGAATGTTGCCTACAGACGAGGAGTTGGTAGAAGCGGCTTGTAAGAGCGCTGAGAGGAGTCAGATGTGATTATCACGCATGAGAGGAATATGACTGTCGAGGAACAAGACCGTCTGTACAGCTACACACCTAAGGAATGGCTTGCAACACTAAAGACCCCAGAGTTCGAGAGGTCGAAGAAGAACCCATATGCTTCTTCATCAGTATATTATTTGTTGAAGGATGTGTCGACAAAGCTCGACCCAGTTGCTCGTCGTATGGTTGAATTCGTCTTCAGTACCCCTGAGGGTAAGGGCTTGGTGGTGCACACTCCTTCAATTAAACTCGCCCGTCTTCATCTGTTGAGATTGAAGCGATTAGAGTGGGTCAATATCCAAGTGGTTGAGGCTTATGGTCATTTCTTGAACGACAAAGCACTTGCTGGTGACAAGAACAAACTTATCTTTCCGTTCACTTTTGGTGTAAGTAGGCTCTTCACTCACACCTTACAATATTTAGATTCCAGTAACTAATTAGCTATTATTTTCCTTTGCAACCAGCAACTTGCCATAATGCTCAGACGAATGTGCCCCCGTCCCAGGAGAGACTCGATGGGGTCATTGAGGTTCCAGTCTTCAAACGTGTTGTATGGGACAAATTAGAATATGTAAGTGAATCCTTATTCTATCTTGATACTGATATACATTTTGTGGAGCATAGCGTTCGTAGAAACGAACACACTCGTCCTTAGTGCGAAAAATATTTCATTTCGTGCTTCATCATCTTCTAGGTCCGAAGTGTTGTGAGTTGCGAGATATTTCCATTACCAGTTAGTATCCAATGTGCCCAGAATAATCCCCAGACTACGTCTAACAAAAATCCGTAAATAGTAGGCTAACTCATATAAATGAATCTACAAGTAGTATCGGATGGCTCCGACGATGTATCCACACTATAATCTGACGTACTAGTATCCACAATAATTAAGTCAATATAAAAACGCCCAGACTGATATCCATACAAAATAAACATAGGTTACACACTACTTCCAACAAACAGTAGGTAAATATCCTATTAGCTCATAGTAGAATCCCACCATGACCAACAAACATTAAACTCACACCAAAGACATTAACTTTTATTCAATGCTCCCAACCAAAACTCAACAACACAAACTTATAAATATGTCAATCCACAATCACCTTCTTCTTCTTCTTCTTCTTCTACTGTTGCATCGAAGCCAAGCACACAACCACCATATATTTGACTCAAACCTTCTAATACACCATCAACAAATTCTTCTTCTTCATGGGACGAGCTCGTTGATGGACGAAACTCGGCCTCATCATCGATCATACACTGGCAGTGTAAGGGCCCTTTTTGCCCGTGTGGGATTTCCAGAGAATTCAAACGGGCAGACCTAAATTCCACACGGTCGTGTGGTTTTGGCTGTGTAGCGTACCTGGAGTCATTAAATCAAACACGGCATTTTGGAGAGCCACACGGGCAGCTAAGGATTTCACACGGCCGTGTGACCTGTTCGTGTGATCGGACATAACTAGGTTTTTAACCCAATTTCGGGTCTTTGAAGAGGGAGACGATTTTCCATAGCAAAAACAAAGTCCTAGAGAGAGAAAGTGCAAAGAACAAACCCTAGAGGTGATTTTGGAGCTGGGTTTCATCAATCAAGCTTGGATTTCATCCTCGGAGTGAAGATTATCATCCCAGAGCAGATTCTTCCCATTGTTATGAGTATGACTGCTTTGTATTCTGTTTTCCTCTCTCTCTATGGAGTAGAACTCTCCCTCACTTGGGTATGAAGAACCCTAGTTCCATGTGTTAGGGATCATGTTTGTAATGACTTTTGGATTGATATACTGCTTGATTATAATCGATTGAAGTGCGTTTATTGAGTCAATTGAGGCCTGATCAACTTCTCTTGATTTCTGCCGCAAACCTGAGATAGATAGAATCTGATTAGGTTGTTAGAGCTTCTTCAATCGGTAGAAGTGAATCAATTATACGAGAGTTAGTCGATTCACTGCTTTGTACTGGATTCCAATTCCAGTAGTGGAGTTTTGTGTTAATTGCCTCAGCGTTCTATCCCTGTGAAGACTAGTCGTCTGCCGGGTAGTCTGTTTGAGAGGGCTTGGTCGGCTTAAGAGATTCCAAGCTACTGTCGGATCTTTCGTAGTTTAATCAACAGTAAATCAACCAAAGGAAATTACAACTTTGACCTAACTAAGGAGCTAGGGGGACTCATTCCCGAGTGACTCTTCCCTTGCTTAAGAACTTCGAACCATTTCCTGCTTTCTTACTGCTTTTGTTTGCAATCACTCTCACTACACTTAGTCCCACTAGATAACAGGTAGTCAAGGAGTAGGCAGTAGATCTAGACCCCAGATTGATAAATTGAACTTGCCACTATTCTTCATTTCCATTCTGCGATTGCACTTGGTCGCAGTTTGGTGTTGTGTTTTAGCGTGTCAATAAGAAATATAATTTTTTTATTTGCATAAAGGAAGTTGGTTTTATACGTCTAGAGTCATTGTAAATGTTCTTTTCTTATTTTTGCAATCTTGTTAAATTAGTAAGGATTGCATATTGTAATTATCAATCGAATGTATCACCTATGATCCCACTCATTTAGCAATGACAATGTAACATCTCGTTCCGGCAAAACCGATATTTCGATCGCTAGAAAGTTTGAGATTTAAAATTGAGCGTTTTGATAGTATTTCGGCGAAAATCGGATTATCAATCGATCGGATAAGTATACGTATTAATTATATATATTTATTGTCCATTTAATTCCCACGTCCATTATTCCCATCTTCATCATTTTCCTTTTCGACCGAGAGCAGAGCGAGCAGAGGACGCTCAGGGGAAGCGAGGGGGGAAATCTCAGAGCTCAATTCTTGAGCATAAGTGATCCAAAAATCCCGTAAGTAATGCCTAATTCATCTATACATCGTGATTTATTGATTTAGAGCTTTAAAACGAGTTTTTGGTTCATGAATTTCTTGAATTCCCGATAAGCCAAATGAGGGTTTCGGAGTATCCGGAAGCCGGATTGAGCCCAAATTTCATATACGAGCTTCCTACAACGAGGTAATTAATCCTCTAGTTCTAATCCCTGAATTTCGGCAATTATTTAGGTCGGGGTCCAAATCGCTGAATTTAGCTCCGACCAGGATTTGATGTGTTTTTTATCAACTATTTAGGAGGGGATATTAGGACGGTCTCGGATTTTAATTCGGGGTTCGTTCGTGAAATTGACATTTTAGTACGGGAGGCTAGAACCGGTGTTTGAACGACCATAACTGGTGAGGGATTAGCACGGCATACCGGGTTTGTCGTATCACGATAATTATATTGATGCTTAGAATTGACCTAGGTGAACTAGAATGGCATGATTAAGGGTGTATGAACTTTTGTGCTATATGATGAACCATGGACTACTGTATGATATTATTGACTTGCCCTAATCGAGATGGACCTTGTTTATGCTGATGATTTCGTATATGTTGCAAATTGTGGGCTTGACTGTTGATATGCCTTATGATGGTTCGAAAAGGTGATTGGGTATGATTTTTCATGATTGTTGTATTTGGATGCACATGTGGGAAAATATATATTCCCTGGTGATATTATGACGTTTAAGGAGGATGACTTGCACGAGGGTTTATCCCGAGGAAGTGCAATTATACAACTCCTGATTTACCTATGTTGAATCAATTGTGGCCGGGTCAAGTACATGTGCAAGTAGCGAATTATGATTAAGCAAGATGAGATATGGATCATGGATAAGGATACCAAGTAAGAGTACTTTGGTCTCATGGTCAATTACATAGTAATTAGGGCTACCAAGCTATTACTCTGTTACGATATGTTATGTCACACCCCTGATGTGGTGTTGACCGTGGATTCATCATGAGATATGACCACACCCAGAGTGGTGTTGAGTCTGATATGACCACACCCAGAGTGGTGTCAGGTCCGATATGACTACACCGGCAGTGGTGGGTCCGATATGACCACATCCATGAGATGTTTGGTCCGTATACCCGGGAGAGTAATTAGCATGGGAGTAGCCAGGCGCCTATGATTAAAACATGATAAGATGCATATTGGGATATGAGGATGGCTGAGGTCTGATCCTAGTGTTTTGGCTTGATTGTTAGATGTGTGATAGGGGTTTATCCCGAGGAAGTGCAATAATACTTCCACCCTTTAAATTTTAACCCTTAAAAACGTGGGAGTTGTTGTTACTCACCACCCTCTAAAATCTTAAACCTTTGACCGACACTGGGATCCCCTCACTAACTAGTCCAGCCGCCCAGCTCATACGTATGAGGGCCAACATAAGCCTTTCCTTAAACCTTTTTATGGGAGTAATCGATTCAACTCCATAAACCTTAAGAGTATATCATACTCTTCCTTTAAAATTCATGTGATGTCTACGTGATTCATCCACATGTTCCTTAAGAGCAAACTTGCTCTTCCTTGAAACTTTCACTGGGGCGGGGGACTGGCGTTAGTGAATTACCTTTAAAACTTTTCACCCTAATTTAATTAGGAGTGAAATGCCTCTTAAATGTTGATCCTTAAAGATCAAACAACCTTCATTAAATAAACATAATTATAAAAGCTTCAAGTAAATACTGAAAGCTCAAATAATCATATACTTCACAATCATAATTCAAATAGAGCATCTCAGATAATATCCCAAATAAAACATGCTCATCAATCACGACATAAATCAATCATTGGCATATAATTCACATGAACACACATACTTAAAACTCGTAAGTCAAATACTTGAAAATACGTAAGGCGTAGAATTTACCCCCTTAAACCACTCACCTCTAAAATGACGATTCTTAGTTCCCTTGATGTGAAATCCTTAATCCAATCGCTTCCTCGATCCTATAAACTGAAATCATCTTCCCTTAGTCGGTAATCCTCATATTTAGTCCCTTTAACGTATTGGTAAAATTTCCCTCATTGATTACTAAGTCCCAAAATCCTTTAAAAATGGCCCTCAATCTCTTTTAAATCATTTCCTCAAAACTAAACTTTTCAACCTC